TGGCAGCTATCCGGGGTTAGCAGCGGCAGCAGCAGCGAGCCAACCTCCAGCAGCAGCAGCTCAGCAGCCGGTGCGAGCGAATTTCAATACAACAACAACAACACCAAACAAATCAGCAACCAGCATTTAGCAATCAGCTATGTATTAAAAATGTAATAAATCATCTAGAGAAGACCGCGGTATGCCGACGGCAGTCACGCGTCAGGGCATAGCTCGTGGCAGAGATTCTGCACTGGGAAGATGCGGGCCCCGGCTGTTCCCTCCACGCTGCATGAGAAAAACGACGTCTGCGGACTAACGGTGTAAAAACGCACATGCGTACGCAACGAACGAGAGCGTTGTCTATCATATATGATAGTTATATCATGGCTGTCGTACCAATCACGTTCTGGCGGCGTCGAAATGTGCTTGTAATAAAAAAGGCCGACACACTCGCGTGCAATTCTGGTCCTTCATTTGGCTCGACCACCGTAGCGCCGCGCCATGTGCGTTAGGCTTTAAAAGAATCAGGCTCGATCTGTCTACTATTGTATCGTGTTGCTGTGTTGTGTGCTGCTGTCCCGTGCATGTCGTGCGTGCGTGCGTGCGGGCCATGCGTGTGTGTGGCATGCATTGCTGCTGCGTGCCGTGAGTGCGTGCTGTGTGTGTGGGACACCTCTTCCTCCTGCCAGCTAGTGTGTGGTGTGTGTTGCTGTGTGTGTGTGTGTCTGTGTGTTGTGCGTGCGTGTGCGGGGGGTGTGTGGTGCGCGTGCAGCGCTGCTGTAGCGCCCAGCAGTCAGAACGGACCCGTGGGCGCCTCACGAATGAAAAGCGCAGCAATGCAATCATTCGGGCTTCGCTGAAATTACTCTGGCACCGTCAGCGGGAAATAGAGACTGGCGCACAGATTGTAGATTGCGTTGATTAGCTTCAATTTCGTATATGATTCTAACCACCGTCTTGATCTTCTCTCTCTTCTCTCTCTCTCTCTCTCTCTCTCCTCTCTCCTCTCTCTCTCTCTCTCTCACTCTCTCGCTCTCTCTCTCTCCGCGCCGGTTCCTCGCCTCCCTTTCTCCCCCTCTTGTTCCCTTTCTCTCTCTCTCTCTCTCTCTCTCTCCTCTCTCTCTCTCTCTACTCTCTCTCTCTCTCTCTCTCGAACACGCACGCACACACACACACACAATATAGACCGAGCCTGATTTCTTTAAAGCCTAACGACATGCGCGGCCTCGCTCCAAATGAGACCAATTCGCGTAGTTTCGCTTTTTATTACAAGACATTCGACGCCGAACGTAGATTGGACGAAGCCATGGCATTAACTATATATATAGCAAGCTCTCTCGTTGCGTATGCATTCGTTTTTACACCGTTCGCGTGTTTTTCATGCGTGGAGAACGACCGGGGCCCGCTTTCAGTGCAGAATCTCTGCCGCTTGCTCGCTGCTGCGGCTACCGATTTCTCTATGATTTTTATTTTTAATACTACTGTTGCTACTGCTGTTGCTGTTTTTGTGTTGTTGTTGTTGTTGTTGCTGCTGCTGCTGCTGCTGCTGCTGCTGCTGCTGCTGCTGCCGCTGCTACCGCTGCTGCCGCTGCTGCCGCTGCTGCTGCTACTGCTACTGCTGCTGCTGCTGCTGCTGCTGTGAGGTTGCTGCTGCTGCTGCTGCCGCTGCTGCCGCTGCTGCTGCCGCCGCTGCCGCCGCTGCTGCCGCTGCTGCTGCTGCATTTACGGCTGCTATCACGGTACTAGTACTAGTAGCACTGGTGCGTCTCTTGATGCTGCTGCTGCTGCTGCTGCCGCTGCTATCATTTTCAGCTTTGTTACCTTTCGGCTTCAGTCACGAACACAAAGAACACACGCACGCGTCAGCTCCGCGTGTTTGTCGATCCGTCAATCATATTTCCTCTAGACCGTCGACAAGGCCCTTCGACGAGCTCTCAGCGTTTCTTAGCGACGTACGGAGCCCGTCTACGCCGCAGCGGGAGAGCGCTCGGGAGACACGGCGACAGGCGGCGGGTTCGCACCTTGAGCGCAGACGCTCGTTTCGCTGTTCTTATATTCGTCTTTGTTGCTGAAGCCAGTTTGAGAATCCCAAAGATATATAAGCGTCTGTCTGCCGCGCGGATATATGGATCCTTGTCTACTTAATGCGATATCTCACGCACGCATACATGCACGCACTCACGGACGCACACACGCACGCACGCACGCACGCACCCTTAGCCGGCGCTGCATAGCCACATGCTATTACATAAAACAAATTCCGCCCGTGATTATGCGATACAATATTTGGTTTATTTTAAACACACACTCTCTCTCTCTCTCTCTCTCTCTCTCTCTCTCTCTCTCTCTC